TGAGGAGTAGGCAGTGAAGTATATTCTGTGAAGTGGGAGAATAATATTGATTATTTGCTCCCTACAATGTAAATGTGTAAATAACTGTAAATATATCTATGTTCAACAAATAACATTTTGTAATCATAAATTGCATAATGTAATAAAATATTTAAAAAAACAAAAACAAGGATAAGTTAACCAACAATTCATGACGGTCTTGGTGGTTTAGCAGGCTTTGTGCCCCTTCTTCCAAATGTACAGGCGTTTACAATATTTTTTCTTTTTCATGAATTCAGTCTCTATACTCTTATAACTAAAAATTTAAGCTGGAACACTCTCCATGACGTAATAGGAATACAAAAAAATCAGTCTTTTATTTCTCAGAACGGTGAAGAGTTGAAAGACGTTTCATGGTAGCACTTAGTGTTGCTGTATGTGAGAAAACCTGAGTAGTGGCGTTGCGTGTTTTCACCTGGCATGCAACCAATAATAACGAGTTTTCCTTTCATTTAATAAGAAAATGTGTTTGGAGGTTGGAGAATTTATACGATTCTATGGTAATATATGTTTCTTAGTGTGTAAGTATGTAAATATGTTATTAGAAAGGGGCGTCGGGGGGCACTACGGTTATCGCGTTGAAGAAGCGCTCATCACTGTAAGGTAAATGTCCCTCTTTTGAATGCTGGGTCGCTGGATTTACTTACAAATTTTTGTCAGAAACATCGGCACCACGGCAATTGATATGACCTCTTCTGTTGCAAACCCCGATATAAAAAGTAAAAATCTGTCGTGTTCGGTTATACTGAACACAACTTATGAAATTGTAGTTGATTTAATTGAAAGAGGGAGTAAATTTGATAAACTTGTATCTTATCATATTGCTATTTTTAATTAAGAAAAGCGTTAATAATAGCTAACAATGGTGTGCAGATGTAATATATTATATATTCAATATATTTGCCCTTCAATGTTTGCATAAAAGATTTTCTAAAAGATTAATGAAGTATTAGATGTGTTGTTTTTATAATTTTTAAATTATATTAACATGAAAACCAAACATATTTTTTTATTACACTTTAGTGAAAATAGTGTGAATCCTTTACTCTGATTTTTTCCAGAAAAAAAGCCAATTTCATAAAATAAAGTTCATAACTTACTGCAGCTGTCAAGGACGGAAACATTTTTTATGGCGCAGCAAGAGCTCATATTTTTCGGGACGTGTATTTTCCCATCTATATGTGATAAAAACGAATTCTTTGGAACGACTACAGCACAAACAGTAGTTTTATAATATTGTTTATTGAATGGGATTTCTCTTTTAATATTCTAATAACACTACCGGGGGCGTCGGTGGCCGCAACGGTTTAGGCGTTGACACGGCGCTTATCACTGTAAGATAAAGGTCCCGGGTTCGAATCCTGCAGCCCTGCATTCGAACCCGACATACTTACAAATGGGCTTCTTTTCAAAACCACCGTCACCCCGAGGGTTGATATAACCTCTGCTGTTGCGAACCCTCGTTAAAATATATATACTGCTTATTTTTATATATATATTTAGGCACTTACTGATTTTTGTTAAAAATGAGACTGCAATAAATTATTCAGCATAAAAATATACATTCCCCCAATTGGTTTACATTATAATTGTACTATTGTCTAAAAGGTGGTACAAAGATAACATGGGACAAAGAACATAAAAAGCACATATAAAAAAACGCTTGAAACAATATCATCCAAATGGACATGGAAAAAGTGACAACTAAATAATTTATTTAATTCATTAGACATAAAAACCACTCTATAGACAACAATCAACATAGAAAAATCGTTGAGATAAATAACGTAGACGTAGAAACTTAGACAAGATTATCGAAGGATGTTATTAAAATTAAATAAATTACAAAAATTTTATTAGGTGAAAACTACAGATAAGCTGTCGGGAAAATAAAAGAAAGTTACAAGAAAAAGAATGCATAGTTTAGAAATTATTCAAAATGACAGGGTTTGGCATCTGCACAAGCAACGGTAGCCTAGAAATTTTTTATTTTATTAACAATACAAACCTGTTTTTTCCTCGAAACAAAAAAAAACCATCAGAATCTCTATATGTAAATTACTAGATTTATACTCATTTTAAAAATATTTATGAAAAGTGAAAAAATACAAAATATTGAAATTTTCGTATTCAAAAGACTCTCAAATCAAAGAGTAGCTCTTGCACTTAAGTACCATGTACAAATAAAATTTTTTTTTTTTTAAATACTGGCTAAATACACAACATCATTCATCGTAATTTGCTAGTAAATATCAATATTTCAGATCTTTAACCCGACTGATCAATTCAGAATAAAAAGTTTGTGTATAGGTTCAACTTTGCACTTATATGCGTACTTTTGCCGAATCAACTTTATGACATCTCGTGGGCACTTCGGTGTTTTGATCTCCCGGGGTCAGACGTAACACCTTCGAAGTTAGGCTCAAAAGGCTATCGACAAGGTCTTTTCATCCCCCAATAGATGCATTTTTAACCTAAACATATTCACTCGATGACTCATGCTTAATTAAGCTCCCTACTATTTACATCTCTTTTCTCTCAAGTAGAGCGACGAAGTACTGGATATTCGAATTTCACACTTTACTACGGATATTGACAACTATACTTACAATACCTAGTCTAATCGAGGGGCGGTGTGATACTTGATATTCCGCCATCGACACTCTGGTACTATACTCACTCACACATTCGCGCATATAAATATATTCTCGTGAAACAGTGAAAACATCACCAAACTTAGTATACATACAACTTTTTTTCTTTTATCCTTTCCACCATCCCGCCCTATCTGAGGAAGACCCCAACCGGCGGACAAACGCTTTAGCTCAATCGAACTTGTATATCTAAGGGATTTCAAATAAATGGGATAAAATTACCTCCCAACGATCTTTCCTTCAGGCGAGACCGCTGGTCGGTTTTCGAAGGACAATATTTTCATTTTAAAGACTAAAACAAAAGGTCTTCCCTTGCTGATTTCCCCTTGCACATTTACTTTTTCTTGGTTTTATTTTCTATCTATTTATATTATCTAAAATTTTCTTACTAAGAAGAGGAAAACAGCCCGGAACCTAAACCTAAACCTATGTGCAATTATGCAATAAATAAAGAAATAACGGCAATAAAACTCTAACAATAACAACGATATTTAGGACTTAGTAATTAGAATAAATAGGGACTTGTTCATTTAAACGTAGTTGTGGCAGTCTTTTAGCTGAAGAGTTTATGTTCGGCGTTTTCTTCTGTGTTGCAAACGGAGCAAAAAGAGCTGTCTTTTCTTATATTTATGAAGATAGCTTGCGAAGTTTCCATGTCCTGATAGCTTTGGGTGGTCCAATGGTCGCGGTTAGCCATTTTGTTTTTTGTCTCCTTTGGTTGTCTCCTTTCAACGCTGGGGAAAAATTTGGATGTCAGCCGACCTTTATTGCTGTTTGTCCATCTTTCTTGCCATGATGCCCTTGTCATTTTTCCCAAGTACTCTTTTGCCTCCTTTCCAGTGTGCTTTGGGACAAAACTATTTCTTCTTAGCTTGCTCTTATGTCAATTGCCTCATTTTTCTTTTTTGGTGACCTCCCTTTCTTTAAGGACAAGATCTATTGGCGGTGCGTTGGCTATTACTTGTAAGGCGTGCGTTGAAAACGTCCTGTACCCTTGCTGCTTTGCTTTTGCTCGGTAGACGTTTGGCCCATCCGGCTGCACCATAACTTGCTATTGGGAGGAAGACATTTTTATAGATTGTGGAGAGCGATTTTGTGCTAAGTCCATATTCCACTTTCGCTATTCTGTTCAATCTATTGTACGTACACACTTTGTTGTTTCCCTTATTTTAATAGCGTGGTGTACCGGTTGCAGGTTATCGCTTAATATTACTACTAAGTACTTGACTTGATCGCTTGGCTTTACTCGTTTTACCTCTATCCGGATGTATGGGGGTACCAATTATATATAGACAACTATAGGATTACCTGCAATAAACAAAAGATTTGTTTATACCGAATTACCCCACGTTTTCTCCAGAAATCGAAATAGATGTTCAAAATATTCGCTGCCATGCTCGAGCACAATTTTTCACAAAGCCTGTTCTTATTATGAAGCCCTTCAGTTATGTGGGACATATTGAGCAACCTTTTTTGCACGCCGGGCACATACACGGGGCTTTGGCTCAAGATTAAGTGTCTTTCTCAACCGAATAAACTTATTACAATTTGCATGTTAAAAACTAAGGTTACAATAATAGAAGTATCCATTAACAACTGTCAGTCTCCATCTAAAAATACCAGGTACTAGGCCTCAATTAAGGTCACTTAAATAATTTGAAAAAAAGAGAGTCGATAAAACGCATCTGAATTCGTACATTTAAACAAATTGTATCAAATTAAGTTTAAAGACAACTACAACATATCAAATGGAAAAAAGAGTTAGATGTGCTCCTAGGTTGGGTGATCTATCGAACAAATCCCACTCTGTTCTAAGAATTTTAGAATTCGGCTAATAGGACAATGAGTCTGTAAGCACAGTTTGAAACTGACTCTTACATTATCTTTAAAAATAAAGTGACAACCAGTTAGGACATAATCAAGTCATAGTACTAAAAATACATCAATGTTTAGTATTTTTTTAAATTTATTCATCAAGTATTCCTTAAAACGTTTCTGGGCAAAGAAATATGCCAAAGTATCTAGTTCGTAAAATATAGAATATTTTATTAAAAAATATATAAACATTAAAAGTATTTTGAAAATAATTTTCACGGTAAATTAAATTCTATCAATCAGTAATATTTTCTAATCAGTAATTTTTTGTAATGGACTTAACTATAAATTTTTAAAGCATAATGATTGATTTCTGTTAACTAATTTGAATAACGATTATTACATTTTTTATTACTTTTGCAGTGCAAAAATCAATAAATATAACTCGTACTACGTATTTTTTTTTTAATTTTGATTATTTCTTCATTATAGGAAAGGCTGTTGCTGTCTGTCCTTCCAGAGCACGTCGCTGTGAAGATGCGGCAGGATCTGGGCTCTGCACTAGATACGCAGTTTAAGAAAATTTACATGAGCAGACATGAAAACGTCAGGTAAACACAATTTTTAGTTTCACTAGTTTCGTGGTCCGCTTGACCAATTAATATCTTACAATTAATTAAGGTTTTCAGTTGAAATAAAAAAGTCAATGGCACGAGCGGGATTCGAACCCACGATCTTCGGCTAGATACGCCGCTGCTGTACCACCGACTTTTTTATTTCAACTGAAAACCTTAATTAATTGTAACAATTTTTAGTTTTCCACTTACCACCTTTAGAAAAGAAACGAATAAATTATTATATTATTTTTTCTCGACACACACACACACACTGATGACGTTTCGTTTTTCTATGACGACATTTCTACTATTTGTGAACCAGCAACTGAAATTTTAAAAAAAGAATTATTTAATTCTTTATTAAATAATACTTTAATAGTTAGTGAAATAATTTTTGTTTAGTAAGAGTTTGTGCTTTCTGTTTATACGTGAACAGATTTAAACCATTTTTAACAATTAATCATCATAACATCATCACCCTATATTAACACAGAAGTGTAGTCATATTGATTCCCCCAGAGTTCTCAATTCCTTGGGGTAGGATTAAACGCATTCCATTCTCGCTAATACCTTTACTTTTACTCTCCAGACAACACATATTCACCCAAGAGTACTCGATATTTCTCGGGGTGGAGTTAAGCAACCCAGCCCTTTCGCGCTAATAAATTATATTCATTCTAATAAATTAACAGAAACACAACCCCAAATACAAACCTAGAAGACTCGACACATTCACAACCCCAATATACTCGATATTCCTCGGGGCGGTATTGAACTCACTTTCATTCTCGCTAATTACTTACTTTTACTGTGGAATCGCGGTGACCAAATGGTTGGGGCATCCGACTCGTACTTGCCACGCTAACGGTCCTGGATTTCAAGACCGGCACAGCCCGAATTTTTAATTGAAAATATTTTCAAAGAGGTATTTGATCCCTCGAACGCTACACCCAACGGGCAGTCGAACGTTATATTCACCTGTACAACAAGAATTACTTTTCTACTCTCCAATAGTCACCAACTCACCCCGTAGTTCTCGATATACCTCGGAGCGGGGTTAAACATTTACTTTCACGCTATTTCATTCTTGCAGAATGGACACCTACTCGGTCGCTTTCTGGCCAGAAGGTGCCATTATGTTACTCTTGTATGACCTACCTACCTTGTTTTTTTTTTTTTTTTTTTGTTTTGTTTTTCCGCCAGTAAGCATCTATGGCCATTACCGGGACCTCGCACATTAACAATTCTCGCGTTTTCGTGTAGGGTATTTTGGTACTCCACTCTGTTCGTTACTCGTCACCCGCCCCCTTATAAACTGTTAATTTCTCTCAATTAAAAGAACAACTTTCACACATATTGACAGGTTACCGAGGTACTCGATACCTTGTTAGTATGGCTTTTCCGTTTTCCGCCATTCTCCGTGAACCAGTGACCGACTTCTCTCTTTACCTACAACATTTTGGCAGAGTTATTTATATTAATTCATATTTTCTTAGTGTTGATAATTGACCATATTAATTGATCTTTCTTTTTGGTTGACATGAAAAATTAGTGTCACGAGTGGGATTCGAAACCACGACTTTCTGCTCAATACGCTGCTCTCCTCGGACACCAACTCCATATCTCAACCTACAACCGTTCGAATTTTCCCTCTTTTTGCCATATTTTCAAATTTCTTATAATTAGTGTTCGATTCTCAGCGACTTAATAGCCACAGAGAGCTGTTAGTGAAGTAATTATTTATTTTAATCTGAGAAGGAAATGACTTAACCTGGAGTCAATGGTCGAGGGTTCGGATCCCTCGTAATATTAATTTTTCATCTAAACCAAAAAAAAATTTTAGACAAAAAGATCAATTAATTGGAATTATTTATACTGTTTCGAGGCCAGCAGCTGTTCCATTCCCCTTTGGAATTACTATATTGGTTGGAATTGTGTGCTTTTAAGGCAGCTTTTTTGGTCTCCCTGTTCGCTTCTTTTTTCCCTGGTATACCTATGTGGCCGGGAACACATATCAGCTCGACCTTCTTCTCCACAGAGTCGATCCATTTTACTCTCCTTTTTGCTTATTTATTAGAGTGTCTTCGGAGGCAGTTCCGAAACTAACAGTAAAAAAATATACTTTCACACTAAAACTTTAGTTGTAAGTTATGTACAACGTTTATATTCTATGCACTTACTTGCATGTGCAACATTATGAAGTTATAAATATGTTTGCCGTTTTATGATAATTAAATGTAATCGTAAGTGCAACAGCATTTGTTACAGAGCTGTTTGAAATTAAACATATTCATTTTTCTATTATTATGGTCGTTTTTTTCATATCCGGCGTATCAATATTTTTTAAAAAAATTACAATTTCAACCGTTCATGTATTATTTTTTATTTCAAATTACAAACACGCTATTAACATAACATAATTGTTACTTAAGTTTTTATTAGCAGTTCAAACGATTCCAGGACAAAGAACTTAGTTTCTATATTCTTTTGAAAAATTTTCTTTCATTCTTGGTTTAAATTTTGATAAGGAAGCTTACAAATCAAAGGAGTACGATCATAAAATATTAATAGCATTTTTAAGCTTGAAAAAAATAACAAATTTTAGGTACCAATAATACCATTTAAAGTTTAAATCTAATGCTTATGGTTGTGCTGCTAAGCTAATAATAAAAAGAAAAGCTGGAGAAAAAAATTATTAGACACGGATTTTTCATTATAATTCATTCCAATCTTGTAAATTTATTTTTTAAACTATTATCGGTTTATCACACACATACATACACACAAGCATATAAAAGAAATTCTTAAATCCATTAATATTCTGTAATGCTTTTGGAGAAGTGAAATTTGAAACGCCTTGAAAGAAATCCGATGTGTGTCGCGTCAGTCAAAAGTCGCGTTCGATATCCTGTCCCGACATATCTAATGGTGTGGTTTTCCGTTCCACACAGCTTCCGACAGAGCTGGTAAAATAAAAAGCTTCTGATCTCCTTGGGAATAAAGTAGGCACGTACAACACTTTATAGTATCCAGAGTGTAAATGGTTTGAAATATTTGAACTTGCTGGCGATTTTTTTGAGGGTAAGTTATTGAAATTGAAAAAAAACTTTGAAGAACAAGAAGAACGTAGGTGATCTAAATAATAAGATAATTGATATAGAATATATAATGCACTATATAATTACAAGAAAAGCATAGATGATAACAAAGACCAGCCCACCGAAGCAGACGACATGAACTGTAACAACCCTATTACAGGCTCATCTCTCTGCAGACATGATGGCCAAATTAAACAGCGAACAAACTGCTAAAAATATTTCCTAGCATTGCAAAAACAATAATACATTAACTAAACATAATATTTGTTTATGGAAATATCAAATATTTAGGATGATTCTTAAATGATTAACGATTATTCGGAGATCGTGAGATGTGCCCACTCTCAACACGACAGACAAGAATGACACATCTGCACGGAAAACAAACACTTTGAGCCCTGAAGATGATCTCAATAAAGATCGAAACGTTGGCACAATAATAAAATGTTTTTCTAAAACGTCACGCCTGACCGCATCTCCGAATAATCATTGACTAACGGTCACTAAACACCACACATAAATGATTAACTTTCATTCACAAAGTTGTCTCTTAGTGATAATGGCAGACTGCGAGATCAAAAGGGCCAGCGATGATCCTCCTGACGAAATTTCCTCCCATCACATTTACCAGTTTAAATTGCAAAACTAATATCCCTGCAGGATGTATACTAATTTATTCAAAACAGTAAACTGCGCTCAAATGAATAATACATTATGTAATTATATTAGCAAAATTGTAGTTAATGTGATAAATTAGATAGTATCAGTGGCTGAATTCGATTAAAACTTAAAAGCTGAGGTCAATAAATTTAAATAAATTAAACATATTTCACGGGTTTGAACAAGTTGACAATATACAAATACAGTTATTGCCGATTAAATTGAAACTACTGGATCTACCCGCCGTGCACATTAAAAACAAGGCCTGTCTAAAAATGAAACTGTTTTAAATAGAGTGACATAAATGTAAATTCCAGCCTTGAAACAGAAAAATTTTAATGTGAGATTTCTCTCGGGGTGTAAAAGAGAGAGGAAAAAATCGAATTTCACGGCTGGACTATTCGGGTTTATGCGAAAGAAAGTATTCTAGCGAGAAACGTAGGAATTCCCATAAACGCCCACTGCGCTTTTATGGTTGGGACTTTATTAAATTCGCACTTCTTCGTTAAAAAATTAAATAGTAAATCTTGGAAATCATTCACATCAATGGTAATGTCGTTTAGTAAATGCACATGTATTGTGGAAATCCCACATTTAAATTGTCTGCTACGATATTTCTAATACCAAAACTAGCTACTTTTTTAAATTAAATATATATTCTTTTATAGCAAAACTAGTTACTTTTCAATTAAATATATTATTTATTTTATCATTTTATTCATTTTACCCCTTAATCCTTTTTTATTTGAAGTTTATTAGTTATTACTGATTAATATAACCCCCCCCCCATGGAAGATAATACCATAACTCGAAGTCAGAAAATATTTTTTGCATAACTCGGGGGTTTGTATGAGACCATTTTTTGCTAAAGTTAATCGTTTTCTAAATGAACGGCCATCTTCTTGTTACAAAAAGCATACCCCTTCACAAGTCCCGTCGGGCATAAATCAGAAATGGTATATCCTATCAACATTTTCCTCTCAGTAAAAGTGGCATAAAATAAGCTTTAGAATCGAATTGTACAACAAAATATGGCATTCTTATTTAAAACAACGAAGTTAGTGTTGTTTCTCAGCTAGATGAGAAAGTTATGTCAAATCTGTTAACACCACGCGATTTCTTGGCAAAATTAACTTGGGGTTTCTATCAGACTATTTTTTGCAAAAAGTAATTTTTACGAATTAAATTGGTGGACTATAGAAGCTGATACGCACTGTATACATACATATACATATG